TGCCGTGTAAGGATTGCGCAAAATCTTGGATGTGCCTCACCGGGTACCTGTCGGGGCAGGTTCTCGCGTTGAGGGCACGATAATCTCCGCATGGCCTCCATTCGTCGCCCTTTTTGGGCACCATGTGAAGCGGTGAAGACCATGAACTTTGGGAAGGGCGGGCGATTCCTAGCTGGACCATGGCGTCGAATTCTTTTCTTGCTGCCTGGAGTCGGTCGGGCGCGAGTCTTCGGGGACGTTGCGCAATGGGAGGGCCCGGCGTGGTTACGATGTGGTGGCGGGTGGAATGTTTCACCGCCTTAGGGGTTCCGTCTGGACGTGTGACATCGGGAAACCGTTGGAGGAGTTCGTGGAACGGTGAACTTCCGGCGATGGTTTTTACGGACGGGATCTCACACTCAGTCACCTCTCCGATGGAAGTGAGTTGGGTAATTTGATCGTGTAGTCGCTGGTTTCTTATGTCCACCAGGAGTCCGTAGTGAGCCAGGAAGTCGGCTCCGATAATGGGTTTCACCACGTCCGCGACAACAAATCTCCACGTAAAATCGCGTCGTAAGCCTAAATTCAACGACAACGTGATTGTTCCGTACGTTGCGATGACGGTGCCGTTTGCCGCGGAAAGTTCATATGCGGACTTCGTACGCGGTTTTGGTAGCAGGGCATGCGGGAACACACACAGATCGGCGCCGGTGTCGATGAGGAATTTTTTGCCTGTTGTCCTCTCGGTGACGAATAAACGGCTCGATGTTGTTGTAGGGGTGGTGGGGCAGGCGTCAATGGCCGTCTTTAACGACTGCCCTCGGCGTTTCCCGCCGGTAGGGAACTGTACCTACACGGCTTGTCGCATCTTCTTGATTTGTCGCCGAAACGCCAGTGGTACCAGCAAATACCGCTGTCGCCTTTTATTCGATCACGGGATCCCGATCGCGAACGCGAACGCGATGATGATGATGTGCCTGGCCGCGAGTCCGGTCGCGAACGGTCTTGAGGCTGCGATATTGGGGAGATCTCAATTGCAGCAAACTTTTGCAAGACGGCCGCCAAGGTGCGTTCCAGTCCGTCTATCCTCGATTGCTCCTGGGTCGATGAAGGGGTTGCGGGTGATACGGTTGTCTCGGCTATTTTACCCAGGTTACCATAAGCTTCCGCAACGGAGTCCGCGATCTCGGCTCTCTTATCCAGCGTGAGGTCCTTGTGCGCGGCCAGCAGCGCTTGCATGTGTGTGGGCAAGCGTCTCGTCCACAGCGTCTGTAGGACCTCTTCTGGGAACTCCGTCCCGGCGAGAACTCGTAGGTGGCGGAGGAACTGTGTGGGTTTGCGGTCCCCAAGTGGACCGTTCTCCAGGAGGCGGCGCGTGTTTTCTTCCTTTGATGGCCCCATCCGTTTGATTAATTCGCGTTTTAGCAGTTCGTATGTCCGCTCACTTTTGGGCTTTAGGAGTACATCGCGTATCTCGACCGCGTATTTCGCATCCAGGGCGCCGACCGCGTAACCAAATTTAGTGCTTTCTTGCGTAATGCCCGACGCTTCAAAACCACTTTCAAGTAACAGGAACCATAATTCCGGATCCTGGGGCAAAAACGGTGGAACTTTTACGGCAACGCGATCGACTGACGGGCTATTTGTATCGTTTGGCGCCATTGTTTTTGATTTTCTCTCGAAATTCCGCACTCTACTCGTCGCGATCACTGGTAATACTCACGTTTTTTTCTTCTTTCAATCACGTCGGGGTCACCAGTTGTGGGTATTGTTGGTGATTTAAAGGCGACGGTACGGTTTTGAGATTTTATTTCGTTGTTTACTGTTCGAGGGTGCCAGGGAGAAGAAGGAAGGGTGTTTAAAATGGTACACAGGTAAGCTCGGATTTGAAGAGGTGGAAGTAGGTAAAGAAGGGTTTAGAAAGTTCCAGAAGCGAAAAGAGAAAGTATGAAGAAGTGTAGGGCAGGTAGACGAAGGATAGGAAATATTTACATTTATACAAATATTACAAATGCCCTCAGGTAGAACACCTGATTTTGTGGGAACGGTTGTTCCTACAATAAAATTGTATTTTTTTGTGTTAACCTTTGTAAATTACAAAATATCGGTAGATAATAAAATAAGAGTCACGGTTAAAAAAAAAACTCATGCAATTGAGATATGATTCCCATGCTGCCGATACTACTACTATGAAAGTGCGAATTTTGGCATACACCACAAGTACAAGAGTATGTTATTTTATAAAATTTAAATAGCGTTTACTAAAAAAAATGTTAGTGAGGATGATTAGACAAATTTTAGTTTGCGTTGTATGTACAACCATCTATATGATTTTCCTAACAATCGGTCAAATAGTTTCGGAGATTATCTGTGTAATAAAAATCGGCATAGACACACGACGGACAGACGGAAACGTGAGACCTAGTTTTTCGTATTCTTAGGGGTCATGAAACGTCAAGAAAATATGAAAGTAGCCATTTGTCGTATGCACCCTATTGCAATACTTCCTTACCCTACGCCCGATTTTTTTTGTCGGGGTTTTTTAAGTATTACACTTGTTAATGATGAAAATACAACCGAAAAATTTGCTAGTGGGATAATTTTGAACAGGATTTTATTTATATTGGAAATTAAATAAACAGTAGTGGCGACATTAACCTTTATGGGGTAGCTAAAGTGAAAGTATGTATATCAACTAATTATCTGTAAACTCTTAACAAACTTGCAGCCGCAGACTTTAGAAATATTCCCTTCAAATAAATGGCATACACCTATTTATGTTTTGATATTATTTTAAAACGATGTGAAGTCGAAAAATGTAATCCTACAGCAATGATGTGCTAATTTATTACCAACTTTTTTTTTACTTTAGGTACAATGAGACATAAGACCTTGATATCTATTTCAGAATATATCTGAATACATTTGAATAAAAGTATATAATTGGCAGAATTGTTTTTTTTATATAAAAAAAATTATCTGATTATATTATTTGTAAGAGTTTCATCATCCCACGGCAGCTTCGGCAGCACAGTAGTCTGTGACATTATCTTCAGATAAAACTGAATATATATACGTACCTAAATGCATTCTAATAGTTGTACTTTCATAGGAATTCTTGTTATAATACTATCGTTTTGTCTGTTGCCATTATTGAATACAAAATTAATTAGTAGTTATGTATGTATAAATTCGCTAATAAAAAATTTACAAAAAAAAAGTTTTTCCGCGCAAGTTCCAAAATGAGAAGTTATTGTAAGCATGATAAATTGATAAATCACTAATTAAAATTTATCTGATCATTTCCGCTGAAAACTTGATGACGTCATTTCAAAATTTTATTGAAAAAATCCTATCTATTATGGGTCTGTACTGTCGTTCATCAGTGCATTCATATTTTTTTAGAATTACTGAATTGACTCAAAAAAATCAAACAATTTATTTTATTGATTAAATAAAGAACGGTCCACCCTATTTTCCCTAAAATTTAGGAATATAGTAATATTATTAATATTACACAAATTGGAAACTTGCCCTTACTAAAATGTTTGTAACGTCATCACCAAATTTTGTTGTGGGAAAACTCATGCTTCTTTACCCGTACTTTAAAACATATATATCTTTATTTTAACTTATAGGATTCATCATAAAAAATAAAATTCATAAAATCAAATTTTATCATTTTTCGACTACTTGAGGGGCGATGTAAGTTCCATCTAAATAACCTTAGACTAATTTTTACTCTCTACTTTTACGTTTTCTCGGCCTTTCATGACCCCTACGGGAGGATGAAATAATTCTCCCGTTTCCGTCTCTCTATCCGTCTGTCCGTCTGTCTGCCGTCCCGGATTTTTATTAGACAGATAATAATCTCCGTAAGTACACGACCTATTGTTGCGAAATTTTGTATTTATATTAGGAATATCATGTAGATGGTAAAACGCTAACCAAAATTTGTCTAATCATCCCCACCACTAATGCGATGACGTGAGTTCAAAATTGTACATAGTAAATGGGTTTTCAATTGTATAAAATAACATAGTCTTACACATGTATTTTATGATTCCGAATTGAGTTTTTACCCGAAACGTCCAGATTTTTGGAAAAAAAATCAAAATTATGAAACAACATTTAGCACTTTAATTTTGAATCTGCAAAACCGAATGCTTTGAAATCTTGCAGATGGTTTACAGTTATGACAAGCATGATCAATTTTTAATCAAAATATATTTAATTATCCCCTCCAAAAAATTGATGACGTCACCTCAAAAGTTTGCCTAATAAATCCTTCTAAAATGTACAAAATATGATGAGTCTGTAGTTGTGATTTATCATTTCATTCATATTTTTTGGATTTGCATATACAGGGTGACTCAAAAAAAATAATGAAAGTCTGAATTTATTTTATTGATTTAGTCAGGAACTACAAAACCGAATGCTTTGAAATCTTGGAGATGTTTTAAAAATGCTTAAATATGTAAAGAATGATGAGTCTATACTTGTGATTTATCACTGCATTAATATTTTTTAGATTTGCTTATACAGGGTGTCTGAAAAAAATTAATGATTGAGTAAATTCATTTTAATGATTAAATCAAGAATTAGAAAAATGTATTACGAAAAAAGACATAATAGGCCACATTCCCGACAGCGAGGGAAGTAATGTCTAAACTCTTTAGACCAATTTTTTTAAATGTATTATATCATTATAGCGCCACCAGTTCATTTAATGTAAACATGATAATGTTATTTAAACATGTTGAGTGTTTTTGTGAAGATAAGAAATGACACAGCGCATTTCCCCACTCTGTAAAATTAACTATAACCATATTCTTTTTAAACTTTGTTCACTGTGGGGAAGGTCATTTGGAAACGTCAGTGAATCTAGACGTAAACAACATAAATAAGTGTGGCTGAATTTTTCCACCAGAAGCAATAACGATTTTTATGTGTGTAAATTCATTATTTTAGACGTTCGTCATTACATCGTTTTAGTTCCAAGGTAAGCAGTAACTTGTGAATACGTCAAAATGGCCTTTTGATCGTATATACATTAAAAGCAAAAAAAAAGTGCGCGGAAGGTCAACAAGGTGTTGGTGCCGGTTAATTTTAGTATTGAAGTTTCTGTAATTTATAAAACTAGTCAATGTCGGTAATCAGTCCGGAATAAATAGAATCGATACGTTTTTATACAATTTTTTAAATGTGTTAAAGTGAAATTTCAAAATTATTATTAGTGTTGCAGTGTATACTAAAAGGTAATTAACTATATTTCTATAATATGCAAGGTATTATTATCGAACACTTTACGGCTAATATAACTACCATTTCCATTTAAAACAATGGTATGTCAAATTTAAAATCGTTATTAGAGATTATTACCTGTTGCAACAATTATTACATTTGCGTGAGTGCATTGCATGCACAATACAATTACGGTTTTTCATTTTTAATAACTACATACATCATTTGGTCGACTAACTTTACTCATTTGTATTGTACAAAGATTTAATTGGTTATTTCGTAAATCAGTCTATCAACAGAACCGAACAATTTATTTTTTATGTTCAAGTAATGATAAGTTTGTTGCTTTATAAATGGGTACTAATTTTTTCCCTCTCTACAACAAAAATGAGAAAACATTGTGTGATGAAGGTAATTTGTGGTGATGAAGACATTCATGACTGTAAAATCGTATCCTTATATATAAACCTTCTAAACAAAACTGCTTCCAATTCAAGCGGAGGAAAGGTGTCATTTTGATGAATGTCTAATTTTATGTTTTTGTTAATAAGTCGTAAAAGTAAAAGGCAGTACTGGAAACGACTGTTTTTAAAATACGTTAATTTTTGGACGTGTTACCTGATAACTTTAAACATGTTTTAAACATGACACAATTATAGGTCGCGTACAAACGAAATATAATTTAAAGTGCGCATGACCAGAATAATTTTCAAATTTAAATACAATTTTTTTCAAAATTTTAAAATTATTTTGTTGTTGCTGTGCTAAAAATATTTATTAAGAGTCAAAAAAGTAAAAGAAACGTACTCCAATTGCTGTAGAACAAACGCTTAGATAAATAAAAATACTACTTGTACATGGAGGTATCAGATAACCGTCATATTTGCGTACGCTTTTATTACAACTGTAAATAAATATGTACCATAAGATTGTGTCTTCTAGTGGATACCATTGTTGCACAAGGTAAAGAAGATGAAATTTTGTATCCTATTGTAGTGTAGCTTTTAAACTTGTCATTACTAGGTGAAATGATATTCTGTGATACGTTGACTCACAAGAGTCAAGTTTTCTTACCGAGGCGTATCCGAGAGCCAGTCGAGTGCATCAAAGTCGTTTCGCCGAGTTACATACGAATTTTTTTCTACACTACATCCTAATAGTGTTTTTAACTGGTTTGCGTTGATTTACTCATGAGCATTGTTTTTTTTTTGTATTTATATTATAATTTCATTACGAATTGGTTCAGTTTTAATTTTTTGACTTCAAACACGGACTCTCTGATATACTATGAAACACGTCTGAAGCGTGGGTGAAAATACATTTTTGCATAAATAAATATTGACACAGTTTCACAAACAATATAAAGGAATATGTATTTTTCTAAATGAAGTAAATATTTATTCAATAAAAGGCAGAGATATTTGACGGCTATGTTGGCTCGTGGTTGTTTCAGTCAGTGCTATATACAGTCATACATCTTCAACAATGATTAAATACATTTAAAATTCAAAACTGCTGGGTAAATGGTATGCCTGTACCTGTTAGATTAAAATTGGTAACATCGAAATATCGTTTAGTCAAATTATGTGAGCTATTTCACTTTATTCATTTGTTTAATTAATCTTCGATTTGGCTTTATTAAATTTTGTAGTCCAAACAATGTATATACTGAAAGTGCCACAAAACGTCTAAAAGCAACTTTGTTGTTCGTTTATTCTTATCTTCGGATAAAAATAAAGTTGTATAACAAAGTTTTATTGATTTGAAAGTGAGTTTAGATCTGCTGTTCTATATTTACAAGGTAAAACGTGAATCTGTATATTGTTTATGTAATGTGTGAACTAATATAATTATTTATTTTCGAAAAATTACTGTATTTTTATAAACTCTACTTTATAACGGTAATTCTGTAGTGATGTCGACTTTTACGTAGTTTGGAAACAACTTTAGCAGTTGCTTGTTTTAAAATTTACATTCTTATTATATTTGATTTTTCCCAAACCATATTATTCGTATGTGTATAATATATTCCAGTTTGAAACAATGCAAATGAATGTTCCTGATGATATCATTTGAACCTAACAGGTCAAGCGGAAAAATATACAACGTCCGCCCGTCTAACAATAATTTAGGCATTCTTATACTCACAATGTCGAACAGATAGACTTGTAAAAGTGCGTGTTCTTCACATGGTCATTACAAACCCTGATGTTATTGGTCCAGGAATGTCGACCGTTCTCACACAGTCCGCTTATAATTAGCCAATTTTTTTTACACTTTCAGTTTTCATGTTATCGTGTAGACCTGGACGCTCACTTTGTAGCACACCTAATTGGTCTATCTGTTCGACGTATATTATGTCGGTTTTTTTTTGAATAATTGTTACGATAAATAGTAAAATTTAGCGCATTGGCTGCTGTAAATAATGATTGATGGGTGTTATAAAAATGAATAGTTCATTGTTTGTGAATGCATAGTGGATTCACAAACACAATTGCCGGAGTTGTATTTTATTATTTATGTGGAATGAAAAATCAGAAAGTAAATTATGCACGAAAAAGACACGAAAATCCAAAAAAACCCTTTCAGAAGAAAAATTAGTACGCTTTAATAGAGATTTTTGATGCTGTTTATTTGTTTGTTCCGTCCATAACTTTCGTTTTGAGCAGTGACGTCAACATTTAACTATACGTATATAATTTAACTAATTCATAAAAAACTAGCTAGTGTTTTGTTTTTGACGCATAGCACTTAGCTTAGTTTTTTCAATGAATATATATTTTTACATGTTCTCATTAACGTCTTCCTAGAATTTATTTTTGAAATTCGGATGCGAGGTTGCGACATTTTTCCATTTTTATTAAACATTTTTGGCAATGGAAGGGTTTACAAAAAAGTCGCAGTGGGTTTATTTTTAAAATCCGTATTACAATCTTTTTTTTTTGTAAAACAATGTAATATAATTTTTGTATTGTGTTCTATAGTCTTGTGTTATCCTTGAGTTACATAAATAAATACCGTCTTCGTTCATAGTCTTACATTCACTGGTTTTAATTATAATAGACAAAAACACAATAACAAAGCATGAGAAGGAGACTAATAATAGTGTAACATATATTTGAAAAACAGTTACAAGCGAAATGCGTGAATATTTCGCCAAATAAGTTGAAAATCTCGTTGAAATGAATATATAATTCGAGTAACCCCCTGCTAATAAATTCCATATAATTAAATTTGATTATTGATACACAACTTGCTAAAGAAAAAGTTGGGTGTGTAAACATATTTTATAAACTACTTATTTTTATAACATTATCTCTCTTATCTTAAGCACAAAGTTCACGCAACACCGAGTTCATAGGTTGAACTTGACTGTGCAATCAGTAAAATAACATTTTAATTCAGTAACTGATTAGTCACATTTTCTTTTGTTTTAGATACCAGTAAACATGCCAAATCACTCCGAACTTGTAGCAACCCTGCGAAACTCTTACTCCAGTGGGGTTACGAAAAATGTTACCTTTCGTCTTAATCAGTTGAAGGCCCTTCTGCGCCTCTATGAAGAGAATGCATCTCAAATCGTAGCAGCAGTAGCCCAAGATTTACGCAAACCCAAAAATGAAACATTGTTGTCAGAAGTTGATTATTTGAAGAATGACGTACTCAACATGATTTATAATTTGTCATCGTGGACGGAACCTGAAAAACCAGAAAAAACTCTCATTAATATGATGGACGAAGTGCTTCTACTCAGCGAACCTTACGGTGTTGTACTCATCATCGGAGCTTGGAATTATCCGATACAACTAGTTTTTGCGCCACTTTCTGGAGCTATAGCAGCCGGAAACTGTGCAATTATCAAACCTTCAGAAATATCACCCGCTAGTTCTAAGCTGATAGCCGAACTTGTACCCAAATACTTGGACAACGATTGCTACAAAGTGGTTGAAGGCGGAGTTGCTGAGACAACGGCACTTTTAAATTTGCGCTTCGATTATATTTTCTACACGGGGTCTACTCATGTTGGAAAGATCATCAGTGAAGCTGCCGCTAAACATTTGACACCTATTACTTTGGAACTTGGTGGCAAAAGTCCAGCTTATGTGGATGATTCAGTTGACATTGAAATAGCTGCTAACAGAGTCTTGTGGGGCAAATGCGTCAATGCTGGTCAAACTTGCATTGCTCCTGACTACTTACTCTGTACCAAAAGTGTCCAAGAGAAATTTATAGAAGCAGCCAAAAAAACGTTGTCACAGTTTTACGGGGAAAAAATTAAACAGTCACCGGACTTTGCAAGAATTGTAAGTGATGGCCATTTCAAACGTGTTATGAAATTAATGGACGGGACCAAAATCGCCTACGGTGGAGACCACGATTCTGAAGAACGTTATATCCAGCCCACTATTGTCGTCGATGTTAAACCAACAGATCTAATTATGCAAGAAGAAATATTCGGTCCTATTCTGCCCATTGTTAATGTGGATAGCGCAGTTGACGCTATTAACTTTATCAATGCCAGAGAAAAGCCTTTGGCACTTTACGTTTTTTCAAATAAGAAGTCTGACGTAAATTTGTTCCTTAAAAATACGTCCAGTGGGGGAGTTTGCGTTAACGACACCGTAATGCATTTTGCCTGTGAAAGTTTGCCTTTTGGGGGTGTAGGGAATAGTGGTATGGGGGCTTACCACGGCAAGTTTAGTTTTGATACATTTTCACATAAGAAGGGTGTGTTGGTCAAAAATACAAAGAAATTTGGAGAAAAAATGCAAAATGCCCGATATCCTCCATATAATGAAAGTAAAGCTAAATTTCTTAGTACAGTGACAAAGAAGAGACCAACTATTCCACTCAAATATCTTTGGCAATTTATTACTTTTGGTTTTGGAGTTTTAGCTACAGTAGGAGTAAAGTATGCGTGCCAGTATTTAGATTATAAGAACAAACATTAATTTTCCTCGTTGGAATGTTGATTAATGTTTACATATTTTGTGATACGTGAGTAAAAGCAAAATCAAAATAATATTGTTAACGATATGGTTGTACTGCTTCTCTTGTATTCTTGTTTTGTTATAATGCATTGTAATATTTTAATAAAGTTTTTGCAAATGAACCAATTTGTATATCTCACCTAAACGACAACAACAAAAGTGGCAAAGCAGTCCAAAATTAAATGTTTATTAAAATTTTATATCAACAATTAACAAAAATGGGTTAGGAAAAAACATATTTTCTTTTTTCTAATTTATTGACAAAATAGTGGATACGTAACTTTGTTTGCAGCAGTAAGATTTATATTTCTTATTAAATCTAGTTATTCCAACAAGATAGTTCATTAATGAATGTCACTATTAAATTAAAAATTGGTTGGTATCCTTAATTTGAAATTTAAATTTCGCGCTGAGAAAAAAACTCCGCGAAATTGCATTTGAAAATTTAAAAAAAAATCGGTCAATAAAGTAGGTAATCACCTATACGTTTGCATTCGTAACGGAATTTAAAGCCAGTCCCTATCTTTTTCTCTTGTAAGATATGCAATATATACAATCATGTAATACGTATTTTCAGTATTAACACATTATGAATTTTAAATATAACTTTTCTCTATAGACTGCAAAAATGGCAGCTTTTTTAAGAACAGTTTATCAAGTTTATTAAGAACAGGTAGCAACTTCTCACCAAACGGCACTCTGGCACATTTAAACATTTTTTGATAAAAGATATTTATATCAGTATTCTCGTTTCATTGGTGCCGTTTTAAGGCCGGTTTCAAATTTCATTTGTAAATACCTGATAGAAAACTCAATAATACGACCAAAAGTTTTAGCACGTAAATCTTTTGGCCAACGTTAAAAAAAGGCACTGCATAATGATTGAGTTTAAAAATATATATTACAATTATTTAGACAGAACATTTTCCGCTCTTTATTTTCAATTCTGTGTAAAACAAGGGAAATTTCTGTAAAACCTCACTTTTTTGAACTACATAAGTATTTCAAAACCCTTTGAAAAGTTGTTATCGAGTTTTTGGTGGCGATCAACGAAACATAATTATGTCAATGTTTTGTAATCAGCCATTAAAATGAAGAAAAGAATCGATGAGGGTGAAAAGCGTATTATTTTACACATTTTGAATTCACTACTTTACTCAGTAAATTGTAGATAACGTCATCAAATTTTGGGAAAGAAAAACAGACAAAAATTTACTAAAATCTTGCTGTTCGCAGCATAACTGTAAACTGAATTTCACAGTACACGTTTGACAAATGGAATCTGTTACAAGACTTTCCTACTTTACACTCAGGAAATATTCGGAAATGTATAAATATTTTATATTTAATGCAATAACTGTGTGATGGACAGAAGTATAGAACTTCAAAAGCAACCGAATTTTGTACTTTATAAAATAAACTTTGAAATATGTTATAAAAGGTTGATTTTTTTATCAAAATAAATATGGATATGTAGAGTTAACCCCTAACTTGGTAATGTACCTCGTGAGTTACATAAAATTATTTTTTTTTGCTGCTAATTTGTAATATTGTAAGGATCCAATTCGAATTTTTAAATTTCAAATGAATTCCGCGCGCACAAGAAACGGTTAGTGAGAAGAAGGAGAGGTTGGCAACCAACCACCCCAAGGAAACAGACGTGCGCAAAGCGAAGGTGGTATTGTCTTGAAAAATGAGTCACTTCCTTTTCATCGCTTCGAGAGAACAGTCGATTTCCTTTCGAGCGCTTCGAGCAACAGGTTGTATTTTTAATTGTGAATTATTCTGTGCCCTTTTGCTGTTGTGTTTTGTTTTTCCAGTGTTGATCTGTTCCATTGGAAAACCTAGCAGCCTCCGTTGAGCCATTGGGTGTTCCTGACTTCTCATCGTTCTTACGACGAGGTTTTTGTGTTCCTGTTGGCGGTAAGCCGTGTCGAAATCTTCGCATCTTTGGAGAGGTATGTTTTGAACACCTGTTTCGCCGCGAGTTTCAAGCCCCGACGATGCTTCTGACCTCGTGACACTTCGACGCGTGCGTTTTTTTCCACTAATCTCGTTTTTTTATCTTTCATTTAAAAATCCATCGCAGTAGGGCTTTACAGGAAGTGATTTCTAGTTCGGGCCATGCTTTATTTAGCTATATTTGTGAAATCTGTATTTTGGATGGCGGCAGACGAGTCGTTATTTTCACCGTTCTTTGTTCAGGCAGCGGCCATTTTGAAGCGTCCATTTGTCTCTTTTAATCGAGCACATGTTTTAACTGAATCTATTGAACAAAATAACAACATTGTGGGTCATGGGGGGACGTGCCTTCTATTCCTTTTATTTAGCCCATCGTTTATACAACGCCACAGGATTCATCGTATTTTTGCATCGCATATTTTCGACGCCTATTATTTGGAATGACGAATTCGTCCAACGCCATTTTGCAACTGCAGCTTGTCTGCCATGTTTGTTTATGTGTTTTGTTTGGGGAAATGTATGTGTAATAATGGCCCACAATGCATTTAAATAATTTCACGTTTGAATTTTAACTAATAACTTGACTGGACACGAATTAATATTAATCACATGTAAATCTGTTAACTTTACAATCTTTCACCTCATGCAATTTGTCTTTGTCTCATAATTTTAGCTTCAGTAATTTTCTTTGCTGTATAATTTGAATTGAACGTAACTTTCAATGCTCTGCAGTTCTGACCTAACATGATATTTAATTTGTACAAGCTTATTTCATACCAGATCTTTGTTTTATAAATCTTTGCTAAGTTTTGATCATGTAAATTTTTGTTGATGAATGTTTCTCTCATATAAATTATCTGATGTCCAAATTTAATCTCAATTAAGAATTATTTGTTGCTGAATTTTCGTAAGAGTGTGTGGCGAATTTAAATGTTGTGTATTGCTCTTTGTTGAAACTTTAACACTTGTTCGGTTGTCATTTAATATTAGAGTCATAGAGATTGAACATCTAAATAGAATTGGAGGTAAATAACACAATAACACGTAGTGTCGGCGATGGGCGCAGTTCCTAGTTGCGGTAGCGGAATGTATCGCGCTGTCCGCACAAGATGTGCAGGCTTTGAACAAGATTTCAGTGGGAACGGTCTTGACGACGAGGTAGTAGTTGACCAGACTTCACCGCTAGTTTTAGGCCGAAACGGCCTGCTTGGACGGCATGTTCGTCATGGAGGGGTGCTGTCTGGCAGGCTTGGTGTAGATAGAATCACCGTCGCGGGGGAAACCAGCCCAGACCGGGAGCTCCAAACTTCGCTCACGCTACGACGCCCCCTCTGGGTATTTTCTGTGCTCGTAAATGAAATTGATATATTTTGTTCTATATTTTGTTCGATCGCCACACTCTCATAATGATTCGGGTTCTGCCATCCAATTTACATATGTGTAGGTCTTGTGTTTGTTCGGTTTTCACATGTGTATGTCTGTCAATCCGCGAGTGTTTTTCTTTCAAATATCTTAAGGTGTTTGAAATGTAATAAACTGTCGTCCGGGAATAAAACCAAGGGGGTTTTTGCGCTGAGGGGTAAATCTTCGCAGCGTATTTCCCCCTGTGAGGGTGGTGCCGTTTCCCCCCCTCCAAAACAATTTCTGTTAATTATTTCTTGCGCTCTCGACAGTGTATGCACTTGTATGAAAGAACTTCTTCCCGCCATTTTTCAAAAGCAAAAAAAAAAAAACACAACGTAGGTTCTCATTTGTTAGACGATCACAGCCAAGGCCAAACTTTGAATTTTTAAATTTTTCGCGGGCCTTTCAAACTGTTTCAAGGTCAAAATTTTAAGGCGGGAAGTTTGGGTTATCACAATATGTATATATATATTTCTTTTATTTAAAATCGTAACCAGGCACGTAACCAAGGGGGGGCCTGGGGGGGCACAGGCCACCCCAGCAAAACCCTGTGCCACCCCTGGTGCCCCCTTAAATTAATTTTAAATTTTCAAAGTAAAGCAAATTCGAAATTTCAGATCAACAGTAAATTTTAGATACATATGAGTAATCTTATGTTCCTATCTTGTAATATAACTCTCTGAATAAAGCGATACTGCTGTGAACAGTTTTGTCGATAACTTTTTTAAGCAATTAGCCGATACAATTGATATGCCTTTTACACACTATGCAGATTGGCACGCAGGATTTAAATGAATTCTCATGGTGTTAGTCAATTTCAACTATTTGCACCCAATTCAGTTTATTATACTGGTTGTGATCCAAGTAAAATGTTGATTTATACTAATGAAGACTCTTTTTAAAGGCCCCCTTATTTGAAATTAGTGCCCGGGCTGGGCCCCTCCAAAATAAAAGGCTGGTTACGTGCCTGATCGTAACATATGTTTTGCTGTATTGCAAATTTATACATTTTTTTATTTCTGGAGCGGAAGCTAAGGACGTATTGTAACAGGGTCTGTCTAAATAAACTTGGACCAGTTTTTATGGTTCTGTTCAACTTTCTAGTGCAACCAGGTGTAATGTTACAAATTACAGTATACAATGTGCCCGAATTTACTGCGAAATAATGTCAGATATGTGGAAAAGAAACAATGTGTAAAAAATTAGTAATATGAAGTCAGTAAAGAAAGAAATTAAAATTGAAAAAGAGCATAAAAAACAATTAAATTCAGAGATTTCGTCTTGTGTCATTTTCAAATTGTCAATATTCGTCAGTTTTTTCGATTGGAAACTATATCTGATTCATCTGTTAATAAAAAATACTACTTCCCATCTAAAATCTGCCTATAATGAATTTGTACAGTTTAAAAAAAACACTCTGGTGTATGTACATCAAGTTCTCGTTTCGAATTCAAAACTTTCACACCAGAAAATTTACCGACGTGTTATTGTGCCGCCACAAGTTGTAAATAAATATTTTATTCTTTTCTCCTCGTACATTATAATGTTATTATAATTATTATTAACACTAAAATTATAAAACCAGTTTAAATGTTTTTATCATTAGTTCAATAACAATTGGTGAATACGAGCCTGGCGAAACCCCGAATGCAATGTAATTCAAAGAAAATGTATACGTGTCATAGCTGGTCTGGGGTATACACAGGAATGTCGACATTTATTTAAAAATTTAAGGATCCTTACCGTTCCTTAAAAC